AATGCTGGGGAGTCCACTCAGTTGCCCATGAGTTTCTAATAACAAGTAGGATATTGGATGTAAATGTCATCACTGTCCAAAATGGTTTTCCTCTGTAGCATTTACAGAACACATTAGAAGTGAAATGCAATCTTCCCCATAGGACCTACCCCATCAGGTTTATCTGTTACTAATCACGTAATTTGTCTTCTCCTGTACAACTGCTTCCAACTACTGTTTTTGAATATCCGGGCTTCAAACAATAGTATCCATGGCGCTTCTCAGCATACCGCTTTACTTTTAGGTTTGTCATAAAAAATGATGCTTTTAGTTGGCTTATATGTTTAGATAGTTATGTCTTACTCTTTCAACACGATTCTCTCCTTTCGTGCCGTTTGAGTAGATTAAGTCTTCCTGACTACTTTATCTGTCAACCAGAAGACTGGTATTATTATGCTGAGATGAAGGACATAAAATCATGCGCTCTATTTGTTCGTTAGAGGTTATTTTTCTGTTTTGTACAAACACGTACTGCCTCAGCTATTGAACTCCAGTATCTTCTGTCCGCTTATTAATCTAACTTGAAAAACAGCTAACATTTCTGAGGCTGGCTTAGCTTTGATCAGCTTTTCTCAGCTCCCTTGTTGATGAATGTTGTTAGAAAATCAACTTCAATAAATAAATATCCCTAACTTCAGTGCCTTTAGTGTTTCCTGTTTGATGAGAGAAATCATCCTGCTAACTGTGTTGTATTGTGAAATTCATCTCAAGCACAAGCTGAAGATAGTTCTGGCAGCACTTCTCAGTACTGGTTTGAACTATGCACCATGTCTACAAATTCTCCTCCCTCAAACTAATGAATATTTCTCACAGACAGTTCTTTCCTGATGTCTTATTCAGTATCAGGTAGTTATTTGACTCGTGCATCTGGAACAATAGACTTTAGAAACTGTTAAAATTGGCAGTGACAACAGATTGATCTTTGTATTGTCTCATAAGATATCAATCATTACTTCTCATTGGATTACAGGACAATCTTCTGTGATACAGAACTAGAAGATCCATTGCAAAATTCCATATATATACAATATATAAACCTTAATATCATGGATTTTTCTTCCATTTTGGCTTCCAATCTGCACCCCATATAGATTAAATCATTTCTGTTCACAAGCACAGATAGTACTAGATTTGGTGTTGGTCATAGAAAATGATGACTGCTTAACTGTGTTGCTATAGCAAAACCACACATGTGCAGTAAAGCTTATAAACAGTATTCTGCAAATTCAGATGGAAACTTTTCTTCTAGCTCTTCAGTTTATAATGGACATTCAGTATCTGCATAAACAAGCTTTTATTCATAATTAAAGTCAGTCCCATCCTGCATCAAGAATTGTCAGAATTGTCATCTCTGGTAGAGTGTGTGAAAATCAGTGATGCATGCTGTGATTGTGTGATATGTGATTGTTCATAGAAGATCCAAAGAGGGATACATCAAATTCAGTGTTTGGTCTGCCCTCGTTTGATGTCCTGGCTGCCCTAAAGCCTGGTTCTGCTCCTTGCTGTGGAAGACTTTTGAAATCTTTCTTCCTTTGTTTTCTGTGAGGCAAGATTTATAGGGAAGGTAATATCCTTTATTAGACCATTTGGTTCTTTTGGAAAAAATGTACATTCTTGCGGGGTCAGAGTCCCTGCATTACACTTGTTTTTTGCCTGCTTGGTTTTTCCATTTCTGAAAGGCTTACTTAGAAGAAGCAGGCCTTCTCATTTTGTCCTTTTCAGTTACTACATTTTCTTCCAGTGTAATAGAGAGAACACATGTACTTGTGTTTTTTTTGTGGAGACTTGGGTGCTTGTTTTTCCAAAATCCAAAATAAAAATAATAAAAACAATTTTAAGCCAAACAACTGTATTTTGGCCCTAGTAAATGGAAACCTCACTCCCTTCAGGTTTTTTGGAAAATGTCCTGGACTGATACGATCAATTTCTTCTTTCTTAAAGGAAAAATAAAAATTGTATGTACTCATGAGGCAGCAAAGACCCTATGGAGAATAAGAAGATATATGTATTGATTTTAAAATGAAAAATAGAAACATTCCAAATATTTGCTAAGCATTTCTTTAGCTGCTTACCCCCCAGGTAATGGAGAAACAATGTGTGTTCAGTAAGAGACTGAATATTGTGAATAATTTTAAGGTCCAGTGCAGCCCTGAATTCCAGACCCATGCAACTTCTCAGATGTCTAGCAGAGTTTATGTAAGTTTTGACTGAGTTAAATATCAATATTTTTTTATTTGACAGCATGATCTATACATAGTGGGCAAAGAGTTCTTGCACTTTTCTAGTAATCTCATTCTATGCTTTTCTCACTCTGTTTACTTCTCCCTGAAATGACCGTGACCTTCTGCCAGAATTTCTTGAAGGTTATGCTAATCTTTATTGGCAAGAGAAACAGTAGCTGGAGCAAAAAAGTGAAAGAGAATGCCACATGAGAATGAACAGCATGCAGAGCGTGAGAAGTTTCTGCAATAGCTGGAACTGGAGCAGCTTTGTCAGCATGTAGTCCCTGGAGCAGTAAGTGGGGATGTACTGACTTAAATATCCTAGAATGAAATCTTAATTAATTTTCTGGTACTCAATAAGGTATTTGGGATAAATCCTTTGCTAAACCAGGGAGTGCTCCTCAGGTATTTTGTATGAAATTTTGCCCTTTGATACAGCCCCTCGTTTGACCCCCAAACTTTTTTTTCCCTTGTTTAAATCAAAACGAGTATGTACATCTGTCTGAGTGAAAATAAATAAATAAAGACTTCCATTGCTGTGTCTCACTTGCCTGAGAGTTTATGTATAGCCTTACACATATAAATGACAAAAGTGTTTATGAGCAGGGTCAAAATAACTTCCCATAAAACTTTCTGACCTGATCTCAAATAACCACAGCTTAAAACATGACCAGAATTAAGCTACCTCATGTTAAATTCATGCTGACCAATGTATTTAACAAGATGGGAGTAATCTCAGGGAGTAGTGGAGAGGGATTAATGCCTCTGTCTTTGAGGGGCTGGAATTACTGCTGCTTCCTATTCCCAGAATTGCAGTTTAAGCTACTTCAGGCTCTTCAGCATTACAACATCTGTAGCATGGTTCAGGGCCAAAATACAAACAGTTATGTCACATCTACTTTACAAGATGGAACGTGGTATAACCAAGTTGAGGGACAAGCATGCTGTAACGAGGCCCCACAATATGTTTGTTTTTGTAGAGCAGATGAACCCTAAATTAGTACCAGATGTCAGTAACAGACCTGCTGTATAGGGAACACAGCAGGGAACTAGTAATTATGGAGGAGCCACAGTGAGGCCATATTTAAGGTTGCATTCTGTTTTTCACTTGCACTGAGATCTCAGTATTTTCCTACTACAGTAAAAAGTATACGATTGTCCTACTTCCAGTGTATACTAACATGTGTATCGACTACAGCATGCTGAAGTGCCTTGCACTCTCAGTCCAAGGTACTTTTTCCTATAGAGTACTCAACAACATATATATTTTCTATTTCTATTTGTGCTCTGCACTGAGATCATGAAGAATGGTGTGAACTTCTTCCTCCTTGGTTTGCTTCTACTGCCTTTGGCTTCAGATGTAGCTCTGCTCTCATCACAGGCTGCAATGTTTTTGGCCTTGCAATCATTTTTCTGTCATTTTGCTTGTTAGTTTGTTCATTAGTTACTTAGCAATTTTCTTTGTTTGCCTGGCCTTTTTTTGTTGCCAAGACCTTCCCTCTTGGCAAAAAGGGAAAAAAAGGAGATTTTCAGTTTGAGTTAAGCCATGTGTCTTCCAATGGCCTTTCAGTTCTCTGTCTTGCACATAGCTTTCTTTGTGACGAGATCTTCAGACTTGTGCCTTTCATCACATGTGTTGAGGATGTCTGCCCTTATTGTCAGAAAGAATTATCCACTTTGGAGATTCTGCTACTTTAAAGTTCTTCTCTACAGGAGATTTTGAGAGCAGTTTCTTGATCTTACATGGAAATCTGTAAGGACATCTTCAGGTACTAGTGGGATAATTCAAAATTCAATGACTTCATACTCAGAATGTCTCTTGTGTCTCATTAATATCTTACCAGCTTTACTGTGATGCAACAGAATGCATGCCTGGGAGCTCAAGAAATTCAATACAGTATTTTCTAAATTAGTATCCCTTCTTTCTTTGTTTTTAACTTCAAATTAGTGGTTCTGCAGATTGCATCTATAGCAAATTATTGCACAGGACAAAGATTTAGGATTTAACCATCTTTCTCTGGGCTTCTGTTCCTCATCAGGAACAGCAGAAAGCGTTTGGTATTGACCCACTGAAGTAAAAAGTGCACTCCAAAGTTGCACAAAGACCTAGTATCTTTGAAAGGCTGGTCTCTATGTTGTTTTACCCACTTGAAATTATTCTTGGAATCATAGAATCATTGAGGTTGGAAAAGACCATTAAGATCACCTACTCCAACCATCAAACAGGAGCCTAGCAGAGGATGTTTTCAATCTATCAGCCTCTGGGTTATGGGCCCAGAATGTTCCTAGTGTACCACTCTGCTACACATACACATTTCAAGGCATCAGAAAAACTTCTTTTGCCAGAACGAGCAGTTATTTCTCTCTTCACTCTTCTAACCATAAAAAAGAGATTCCTAGGCTACTAACCTTACTGAAGACAGCAGAAAGTCTTTACTGCAGTGAGATTTCCATCACTGCTATTTAGCTTCTGATCCTTCTGATGTTCTGACTCCTCCTTGAGCTCAATCCTTGAGTGGGGAACAAGACTCATGACATTCACACCCATATGTCTAAAGCTGACTCCTCAGCTACTCAGAATTGCCTTTTGCATTTGAGATTCTCAGCAGAAAGACACTAATATTCAGTCCTCTGGGCTCAATATTCTCTCTTGTGTGTGCCAAAGATCTTACTAATCCTAGACTTCTGTACAAGAATGCAAGATCATTGGTTGATTGTATAATTGGCTGATTGTTGCAGGATATGGTCACAGCCTTGCAAGCTGTCACTCACCTTCCTCAGGTCCAATGAAACTGTAGTGCAAGGACTTAGAAAGGTAAGTTGCCACCCAATGAAATTCAGTGCTTTGCTTCTTCTGTCTTTATCCCCCTCTTACTTTGTAGTCTCTCATGACACCCAGGAGATTATTTAAAGTGTTTCCAGGAACTCCTAAGGTAGTTCCAGTCTTTCGTGATCATAATGGAGGACTGTAAGTGTCTGTTTAAAACCAATTCAGTCCATTGTTTTACAATCCAAGGCAGTATAATTGTGAAGATTTCCATCTCTTTAATCAGTGAGGAAAACCTGAATAGTCTCAGAAGTTTCAGAAAATTGGTCAATAAATTAACTGATTCAAAATTAACTCAAAATTGTCCTTCAGTATGCCACATTCAGAATTGCATACTTTTCAAGGTCCATTTACCTTAGCATTTCAACATTGGAATGGAAATTTGATAGATTTACAACGCGTTTTTTTCTTGTTATTAAACAACAGTATTTTATTTTTGAGAAGCAATTTAATCTATGGTAATAGTAAGCTAATAGTAACCAAGTTTTGCTCAACTTCTGTCCTCTTGCTCAATTTCAAGAGACAAGAAGGGGAATTTGTAAGCAAAACAAAATGAAATAAAACAAGAAATAATGCCACCATAAAAGTGATATATTATTTTAGTTGTTCTTCCCTTTACTCCTGGGAATAAAAAGCGGATTTTGTCAGGTTGGGGAACAGAAAGCAATAGAATTACACAAGGCCCATAGTTTATGCAAAGATACTGGTTATCTAACACCACAACACTCATCAACCCTTTTGTTTAAGTAGTAGGCAGTTCACTTGCCCTACTTGTGGGGAGAAAGTATTGATGAATTTTGAAGAAGGATGTGTTGAGCAAGCAAAGTTGATTGTACTACCAGGGAAATATGCTTCTGCCTTTGGAATAAAGCTATATGCTACTCATGGTTGTACTGTTTTATGTTTTTCTTTTCTCAGTTTTGAATTAAATGACTTAGAAAACTGATTATAACAAGATGGTATATACAAGACGGTATCATTGCACATTATACAGGAGCTATGAAAGCAGAATGGAAATGGGTTCACCTTCAACATAAGAGATGAAAATTTCAAGAATGCAAGATTTTTAATAAACGAGTAATCTCTCTCAAGACTACTCTGAAAAGAAGAAATCTCTATCACGATTTGAAGTATCCTGTTCTGGAACCACATTTTGATCACAGTCTTTTTAGCATAAAAAGTGCTTGTTTCCTCTTGCAGGTAATTAGGACTCCCTTGCCAGATGTTTTTCCTTCAGTTACTTTAAGCTTGTTCTATCTTGCCCTATAGCACCTTTATTCTTTGCCTCACATCTGTCCAAAAACATTTCTGCTAAAGTCGTATTCATTTCCTCTCACACATTAGCATTTCATTGATTCCCTGTCACTTGCCATGCTCAAATTCATCTTTACCTACAACACCTTTATTATGTACCCCCACCTATATTTTCAGTTTCATTTCCTCTGACTCCTCATTCCACATCCCTTATCTGAAATGACTTTGGTCCACAGGATCAATAGCCCACAAAATAAGACAGGAGTGCTTTCGACCAAAGCCCAGAGCTCTGTAGTAAGTCATACTTGCTTTTGTGATTTTAGGCCAATGTAATCAAGCCTGGACAGCTTTCTTCTGAGGTGTTCCTTTCACCATGATATCTGCATTAGTTTATACTGGCATGTTTAAACTACGCTGGTGAAACTAATTTGAGACTCAATATAACTGTCAAAAACAAATGTTTCTTCCACTGTAAATTTTTGATACTTAAAAAAAAAACAACCCTGAATTTCTTCTGAAACAAAGCTCTTAGATCCTTTCTATAAATGAGAAAGACCTACACCAAAAACATAACAATGGAGTTGTGATAAGAAACTTGATTCCTCGTAAATCAAGCAGTCAAAAGTCTTGATCATGGGTGTTTTCTTATTTCTCACACTTTGTCTGCTTACTAAGTCATTTATTGATCTGGTGTTTGGAAGAAGCTGCCTCTTCCTCTCTCACTCAGCTCCAGTTCCTAACTTCCCAGCATGTCTTTTCTGTATTTGTCTTTTCTCTAACTGCATCTAAGCATGGAATAGAAGAAGTGGGCCATAAGCAACATTAAGACAAGATTGGTATAAGGAAGAGCCTTTACTATTTGTAACTGCATGTTTTGCTCAGGGATCTCTTCCTCTGTAGCAGTCTAATTTCCTTATTCCCTATCTATGCCCGTCTTTATGGATTGGTACACCTGACCCTTCCTATGTCCTGATATATCGTTTTCTGCCCAGCTTTGAGATGTCATTGTATCTAGTCAGTTTAGCATAGTAAATAATTTCCAAAATACTCAAACCTTCATATTCCTCTATCGCTTTTCTCACAGTGAAATCTGATTGTGTGGGGGATGGGGAGACTGGCTTCTCTGTTGTATCTTGGTTGTAACATACGACTACACCTACACATACACAGACACTTCAGCTCCTGGCACATCACTGCTCATTTCTGTGTACCTAGTCACATCACCTGAATGTCTGTATGTAGGCTTTATGTTTAAGAACTGCTCTTTCTTTTTCTCATCTTCAAGAACATAGATATTTAGGAAGACTTTTCTTGTTTAGAGAACTGCCAAGAATATACTACACAGCATACGTGTGTGCATGTTTCTTTGATTACTGGGGTGTTTTAATCTGAGTTTAAGTATTCATTTTGAGACTGAAGGTGAAAACAAATGGCTGTCTTATTAAAGATACAAAAGGTCAAATTTACTCACAGTGTAAAGGTACTTTATTTACATTAGTTCTCCCCACTGAACTAGAAGTGAGTGTTTTTCCAGCACATTTATTCCACCCTAGTATCAGTAGAGATAAAGCAAGCTGAGGAACAAGGGGTGGGAGATAAAGTAGAGGCCAAGGGCAGGGAGCTTTTCGTGCAGCCTCTTAAACACATTGATTGTAGTTTAGGATTTTTCAAAGCTGCACATGTTGAGTAATATCTGCCAATAAACACAGCTCAGTGGGTGAGAAATCTGTCTGCCTCTTGCTGAGGATTAGAAGAGAAAAGACACCAAATGAGCAGTTTCTTCACATGTGGGTCGTGCCCCTCACTGGGGTACTTGCCCCTGACCTAATCCTGTTCTACTTTGTCTCTCTTACTCCCTCCTGTCTTCCTTCCCCCTTCTACTCCTCCACTGCTGCACTACTGGTGGTCTGCTGCATGCTGCACAGATGTTTTCCCTATGCTATTATAAGATTATTTTTCAAGTGGCTTCTTGGAACAGATGTTCCAGTGTGTGCACTCTTCTTCCTTTGGCTGAAAGCGCTGTGCACAGAGAGCAGATTGCATTGCTGCTCTCCTTTTGATCTAAAGAGCGAGAGAGAAAAAAAAATCCCACACAAATGATGCTGGTTTTCGTTTCAGGCTGCTTGGCAATGGTGCACCTGGGTGTGTATCTCCTGCTTCTTTTCTCCCCCATCACTAGTGCTGCTTGCAGATGTTTTTTTCTGTGTCTTTCTTCTTCAGGCCATTTTTTCCCCTCAGTGACCCAATACTTTACTCCCACTGCTTTTATATTTTCTTTCATCTACCATTCTGCTATTCCTGCTTCCAAAATAGTTCTCTGACCCACTGCCAGTGCCTCATCTTCATCTTCTCCTTCCTTTGGCAACTCCTGGATTGTTAGGATGGATTAGTCCCATGTGTTTTGGTGTAAGGCCTGGTTTTGGCATACAGTTCTCCTCCATAGCCCCAGTGAATTCACCTGAGCATCACTCTTTCTACTTTTTATTTTATTTCTCCTATTGGGGAAGGAATATTCTCAAGAGTCAGAGGCACTGAAGTGTCAAGGGAGCATCATTTTCAAGTAGTTAATTTATGGATTCAAGAAAGGTATGACAGAAGGAGGTTGTGATATATATATGTTGCATTGTAGGATACTGTAACTAGGCTTAACACACTGAAACACATCTGGGATAAAAAATAAACAAAAAAACAAGTCTTTATTTGATTACATCTAGACTTTTAAATTTTATATCAGCTCCAAATCCACACATTAGTCTTCCTTAAAATAATTCAGCTTCCATGAATTCAGTTTTTGGGGAGGCAAATAAATATTGATTTTTTTGTTGATTCAGTTGATTCAAAATGATGTACATCAGATGAAAAATTGGTTTACACATATATTCTTAAAAAAAAAAAAAAGAAAAAAAGCTCCTTATTATTCCTGTTTTGATATAGCTAGCATGAGCCCAATACTTGTTTTTAAAATACTGTCTTATGGAAAAGTCTTGTTAGATTGTGTGGGGAATCATAACCTTGCATAAGAACATACAGGATTCTCTAATAGGAAAATTATTCTCTATTGCATTCATTGACTGTCCTAGATTGCTCCAGAAATGCTAACAGTCTTTGTTGATTTATGGACTTAGAAATTTCTTTAGAACTGGGGTGAAGTACCAAAGCTTCCTGGGGAAGATTTAAACAGCACTTACAACCTTGTAAACCCTTTATTTTCTATCTTCTTTTGCATGATTGTTCTACTGCATTGTACTGCAGTGTGTATCATCTAAGTAAACAACTAAATAATAAATACATAAATCAGTAAATAAACAGATAGGGAGCTATACGACCAGTAAATCAAGCCACAGCTTTGGCAACATTTCCCATCAAACTACTCCTCCCTGTGAGCTGAGTGTGCAAGCACAGCTGTAGTTGCAGTGCACTGCTCTCCAACATCTGCAAATCTGAGATAGATCTGTAAACTCACCTACAACCCAAATAATCCACTACAGGTAAACAAGACTGTCTGCGGTCACATTTTGGACCAGTCTATCACACATCCTTCATCTCTGAACTCAGAAAACTGGCCTTTCGATACTATTGAGGGCAGCTTAATTCTTGGAAGCCTTGCATACTGCATGGAGTTATTAGAAAGCTGTGCTGCCCTTCTCTGTACTGTTTGTGTCTAAATGGGTTGTGGAAGGAAGTGGATAAGGAGGGAAACCATCTGTTTCAATGCTGATTTTCAACAGGTTTATGAAAAAAAAAAAAAATTGTAAAGCATGTGATAGCAGGAAACTGGATTCTCAGGGTACAGGAATTTCAGTCCTGTTTCCTCACCTTTCAATGTGTTTGGTGCAGCAAGTGACATTGTAAACACAGTTACATTCAGCACAAACCCGAAGTTTGCAAAAAAAACCATCAATCTATTATTTCAGTTTAAAAAAATCTAGAAATTATGCTGAAAAACAGCCATAAGCATCCACCCAGGCCATTTCTTCTAACCCAGGGCTAGACAATTTTTGAGACAACTTTTTTTTGCCTTCCTAAAATCCTCTGTTGACAGGGATGTCATGGGTTGCCCAACCCATTCCAGTGCTCAACTACTGCTGTTGTTTACACAGTGAACACATAAGTGTTGAATGACATTTGTGGTTGCCAAGCATCTACAGCACTCTTTCTTCAAATACTTATGAGGAAGTAGTAGAATTATCTAGCATATCTCTGTTAGGTTTTTTTGAGAATCTGATTTAGGCATAAATCTATTGTTTTAAACACTATATTGGAAGGTAGGGATTGCTTTGGCTTGTTTTTCTTTATTTAGATTAACTAATGGGAAAGTTGAGGGTATCAAGATTCTACTTGTGGTTGATCTTTGCAGGGGATACAGTCATGGAATTATGGAATCATGGAATCATAGAATCACAGAATGGCCTGGGTTGAAAAGGACCTAAAAGATCATCTAGTTTCAACCCCCCTTCTCATGCAGGGTCACCAACTCTAGACCAGGTTGCCCAGAGCCACATCCAGCTTGGCCTTGAATGCCTCCAGGGATGGGGCACCCACAGCCTCCTTGGGCAACCTGTTCCAGTGCGTCACCACCCTCTGTGTGAAAAACTTCCTTCTAATATCTAACCTAAATCTCTCCTGTCTCAGTTTAAAACCATTTCCCCTTGTCCTATCACTATCTACCCTTGTAAATAGTTGTTTCCCTTCCTGTTTATACTTTCCCTTCAAATACTGGAATGCCACAATGAGGTCTCCCTAGACCCTTCTCTTCTCCAAGCTAAACAAGCCCAGTTCCCTCAACCTTTCTTCATAGGGGAGATGCTCCAGACCTCTGATCATCTTAGTGGCCCTC